CCGACTCCGTTTGGTATCTGAGAGTTTTCAGGTGCTGACAACAAAAATCTACTTTCACAAAACACATACCTCACATATATCGATAACTGGGTTATGTAATGATCCAAAACTGCCCTTATTATCACCACCAACAGGTGCTAAATTCCTAAGAAATCTCACTTATCAATCGTTCTGAAATACCCACCTGATTGAACGCCGTTTTGTAGGTCATGACAGTGACTAATCAACAAACTACTGATTCGGACCTAAATGGAAAATATTGTTCTTGTTAACAAGAATGGTCACTCCCATCATCTACAGAATGGCTTTTGCTCAGGTGGTAAATTTTGAACGATTGAAAACCAAAGAATCTGACAGGATTAATCAGCTGTTGGGAGATAATAAGGGCGGATTTGGATCAATAAATAACCCATTCCTCAACATATGTGAGGTATGTGCTGTGTGAAAGTAGATTTTTTATTGTCAGCGAATTCTATTTATAGTAATATTGACCTTGTTTTATTCTACCACACAAGGTGGAAACATGAACTGGTACAACAGAGTTTCAATGAAATGTGGCCGTTTGTGGGAAGCAGTTAAACATGATTGTTTGCAGGTGACAGGTGAAAGGCAATCACAATAGGGCAATCCAAGTGATATAGGTGATCTAAAATTATTCATCAATTTATCAAACTTCCTACAGTAAAATGTATATTTGTCTATAACCTAAATCAGCCTGCAATGCACTGATGATATCATCTGTTAGCCAGCAGTTATTTGTGGTTGTCACAATAACAATCCACATGTAAACAGTTGGCTGTTTTCCTTTCTGCCCTCTTTGACGCCGCAAAGTCCACAAATGACTTTACAGTAACATAAAGGGCAAATTAAAATGGCAACAATCTTTTGCAACACAAGACTAATCATATATCTGATTTTGTTCACCGTATCTATACATTTTGACAGAAAGATGTCTGGTGTGGGGCCCGAGTGCATTACTTTATGACAAGCCATTCAGATTAATATGTCTCGCCTATGCCCGCTTTGACCATCAATACACATATAAGAGAAACTCATTTAAATGCAAAAACTTAATGTTGATGGAGATGCTGACAAAGTCAATGGACCATGAAAGGTAGGCTGCATCCAGCATTTGATGCATGGGTTGAGATGTACTACCTAAGATGCATCTATGGTCCAAGTATGGTTGGCCTAGCACTTATACTTTCAGTGAAACTAACTTAAACGCAAAACATTAATGTTGACGCCGTTGCAGAAAAGCACCACCTAAGTCTTGTTTCCACTTCCTGGTGACGAGAAAAAACGGGGAAATTCCTCCGACTCCTTTTGGTATCTGAGAGTTTTCAGGTGCTGACAACAAAAATCTACTTTCACAAAACACATACCTCACATATATCGATAACTGGGTTATGTAATGATCCACAACCGCTCTTATTATCACCACCAATAGGTGCTAAATTCCTAAGAAATCTCACTTATCAATCGTTCTGAAATACCCACCTGAGTGAACGCCGTTTTGTAGGTCATGACAGTGACTAATCAACAAACTACTGATTCGGACCTAAATGGAAAATATTGTTCTTGTTAACAAGAATGGTCACTCCCATCATCTACAGAATGGCTTTAGCTCAGGTGGTAAATTTTGATCAATTGAAAACCAAAGAATCTGACAGGATTAATCAGCTGTTGGGAGATAATAAGGGCGGATTTGGATCAATAAATAATCCATTTCTCAACATATGTGAAGTACGTGCTGTGTGAAAGTAGATTTTTTATTGTCAGCGAATTCTATTTATAGTAATATTGACCTTGTTTTATTCTACCACAAAAGGTGGAAACACGAACTGGTACAACAGAGTTTCAATGAAATGTGGCCGTTTGTGGGAAGCAGTTAAACATGATTGTTTGCAGGTGACAGGTGAAAGGCAATCACAATAGGATAGGATGACGGTCATCCAAGTGATTTAGGTGATCTAAAATTATTCATCAATTTATCAAACTTCCTACAGTAAAATGTATATTTGTCTATAACCTAAATCAGCCTGCAATGCACTGATGATATCATCTGTTAGCCAGCAGTTATTTGTGGTTGTCACAATAACAATCCACATGTAAACAGTTGGCTGTTTTCCTTTCTGCCCTCTTTGACGCCGCAAAGTCCACAAATGACTTTACAGTAACATAAAGGGCAAATTCAATTGGCAACAATCTTTTGCAACACAAGACTAATCATATATCTGATTTTGAACGGTTTTTAAGACAGAGTTTGAGACAAAGTTGACAGATGCCACCACACAAACACAGCAAAGGTATGGTAACTATTCTACTATCGATTCACAACCAGGCAGAGCCCTAAAAGCTACATTAGCTTACCAGATCTTTAATGAGACCCTGTCGTGTTGGTGGGCTGTTTAGCATCAGCAGGGTTGCCAGGCGACGTTGCTTCTCCATGGTGCTTTCGTTAGTCTCCAGGAGCTGATCAATGGCGTTACGAGACGGTGGGATGGGTACAGCAAGAGTGGCACACAGCACTTTAGATGCCATTCTGTGCAATGATAAATTTTAATACTACATATTGGGATTACATACTTCAATCACAAAATGTTCTACGATAAATGAATTTAAACCATTTAATTTTACACAGGACACAAATAAGATAAACATGGTTAATATGCAGAAAGTTTATAGCCTATATTTGTATTCAATCTGACCTCAACTCCTAGTGCTGTAGCAAAGTCTAGTGTCACATCACATTACAAAGAATTGAGTAAATCATCTTCATGACTTACTTCTGGAGTTCCTCCTGCGAGAGATTTTTACGCTGCTCCCTGGACAGGTGGAAGAGCCTGTGGAGTGTGCTGGCATGGAACAAGGCGTTTCCAGATTTCCAAAATACCAGGCCTAGCTTCTGATAGTAGTTGGCCATAAGTGATGGCTTTGGAGGCTTTTTTGACAGACAGATCAGGCCGTGGATGTCTTCTACTGCCTTGAATGCTTCCTATATGCAAGTAAGGCAGGAATATTATGCAGGAAACTCGTAATTGTCACTGAACAGCCCTCAGTACAACTTGAAATGTACCCACCTTCCCCTCTGATGAGAACTGTTGTATAATTTTCATTTATTACTAAATGGCAATCAGAAAGATATGGATCATTTGTGCAAATTTTCACAAAATATTTTATTTGAGCAACGGTGACCTTGACCTCTGGGCAGACCACAATCAAAATCTATAGCATTCTTTGCATTCACTAGGGCAACCAACATACCTAGTTTCAACTTTGTATGATCAATCATTCTTAAGTTTTGTTCTGTACAAACCTAGAGACAGCTGGACAGACACTACGCAGGACGACTACACCCCCACACCCCCAGACATGCAGACAAGATTGTAACCACAGTTATCTTTTCAAAATGTTTGTTGACCACATAAAGTGGAGTTTCAGGAAATTTGCTTTGAAAAGTGAAGGAGATATGCAGACGAGATTGTATCTATAGACAACTAGATTCAAGTAAAATCCCCTCCCCCCCAACATTCTCTTTATTGTGGGTAAAATGAATATCACTTCAAAAGCCAGCAGAATCAGAGAATACTGACACACTATGAATGACTAGCATACATACCTGCCAAAGCCAGCAGAATTAGAGAATACTAACATACTATGAATGACTAACATACATACCTGCCAAAGCCAGCAGAGTTAGAGAATACTGACACGCTATGAATGACTAACATACATACCTGCCAAAGCCAGCATAATTAGAGAATACTAACATACTATGAATGACTAACATATATACCTGCCAAAGCCAGCAGAATTATAGAATACTGACACACTATGAATGACTAACATACACACCTGCCAAAGCTAGCAGAATTAGAGAATACTAACATACTATGAATGAATAACATACATACCTGCCAAAGCCAGCAGAGTTAGAGAATACTGACACGCTATGAATGACTAACATACACACCTGCCAAAGCCAGCAGAATTAGAGAATACTAACATACTATGAATGAATAACATACATACCTGCCAAAGCCAGCAGAATTAGAGAATACTGACATACTATACATGGCTATGAATGACTAACATACATACCTGCCAAAGCCAGCAGAATTAGAGAATGTTGACTATGAATGCCTAACATACATACCTGCCAAAGCTCCATGTTGATGGCACTATCAAGCTGGACAAGTCTGGTCTCCAGGTGCATGGCTTGCGAGTCTGGATTGTTAAGGTTGATGGCTGTCTGCTGGTTCTGGTGCTTGTGGATGTGTCCAAGATGGGTCCTCAACTATTTGTTTAGAGACAATGCTTTATTTTTATTACTAGGCTTGACCATCATCTTTTTATGAGACAATTCATGCAGGCATCAGTATATATTGTGATACTTGCGTAAATGATGCATGCAGTATATGCTATTTGGGTGTCGACTGCAAATTACTGTGAATTCCGCTTAATATCACTTTCCATATGTCATACAAATCATGATTTAATATAACAGTGACCCTGTTAGACCACGACTTAGCTTACATTTTTGTCCAGGTGTGACACAAGCCTATTCCTTATTAACGTACATTTTGTTGTGACATCAACATAAGTTACCATGTACAAAAATCATAAAGAGGGAATTCAAAGAGCAGTGTTTCAAAGCAAACATGATATAAACTAACAAGATAGCCCAGAAGGATCTTGGCGCCCACCATTGTACCATCTTCATTAGTTCTATGTCAGTTCGAGCTTTTCTCTTCTTTTCTTTTCTTATCTCTTTGATCGAGACATGAAAATGCACCTTGAGGTAACTCGTACTTCTGAGTATAAAAGACAACCTTCAAAGCGAGTTTGTCTTTTCACATATTTACTGGTACTTTATGTAAAATAATAGCACCAATTAGTGCAATAAGAGAGATCTGTCAAGTTTTTCATGCAGCCATCTTGTTTTAATGATCACTCTCAAAAAAAAACATGCACAACCAAGGACCAATTAGAACAGAACCTACATATCAAATTTGAGAAAGATCCCTCAAGTAGTTTCTGAGATTATACAAACTTTATCTTTCAAAAACCAAGATAGCCGTCTGTTGGCCATTTTGTTTATCCAATCAGTCTCAAAGGTAAACATGCAGAATTACAGACAAAGTGGAACCTAAATATCAAATTTGAGGAAGATTCCTTTAGTACTTCCTGAGAAATAGAGATAAAAAACCTTCAATGTAAAACTCCAAGATGGTCACTTGTTGGCCATTTTGTTTATCCGATCAGTCTCAAAAGTAAAAAGTACAGACAAAGGGGAACCTAACTATCAAATTTCAGAAAGATGCTTCCAGTCCTTTCTATGAAATAGCGGTAGCAAACTTTAAATCTTTGTTTTCTGATCAGTTCCAAAATCTAATATGCATAACTAAGGACCACGGGGAACCTTCATTTGAAATTTGAGAAAGATCCCTCCAGTACTTTCCTATAAATAGTGCTAACAAACTTTAACTGTCAAATTAAAGATGGCTGACTGTCGGCCATCTTGGTTTTGTGATCGGTCCCAAAAAACAATATGCATAACAAGGGACCATGGCGAACCTTCTTGTGAAATTTGTGAAAGATCCCTACAGTACTTTTTGATAAATAGCCCCAACAAGAATTGTTTAAGGACGGATGGATGGACCACGGACGCAGGGCGATTTGAATAGTCCACCATCTAATGATGGTGGGCTAAAAAGTGATTTTAAACCACACAACATTAAGTGAAAAGGAAAGTACAAGAATTTACCTGGTATAATCCTCACACTCTTAACCTTAAAAGTGGACTAAAAGTTAAATATACTTAATTTAAACTAAATTCAGCTTCACCCAAAATATCATGACCTATGACATTTCATCATTACAAAGAACCTGCTGAAATATTTTAACACATTTGACCCCCGTGACCTGCAATGTCAAACAAGGCCATTCAGTTGACAAACTTGACAGCCCTCCAGCATTGAATGCTACTGGCCAACAATCATCAACCTTGGCCTTGTCATTACTAAAAAGAACTTGTTTTGAAGATTTCCCCCCACATTTGATGGACCTTGAAAGTGGGTTAAGGTCATTTAGTTGAACAACCTTTGTGCTACATATCATCACGCAGGGTATTTTGGCTATTGAGAAGTTGTTTAAATGGTTTAAGATACGTGATCCCTGTGACCTTATAATTGGCAGGCCAATCAGTTGAACAACCCTAGTAGCCCTTCAGGCTTCTAGGCAGTAATCATGTAGTTGTTTTTTTTTAAAATTATTTGACCCTGTGAAAGTGGGTAAAGGTAATTCATTTCAACAAACTTGGTAGTCCCCCATCCCAGCAGCTACTGTCGAGATATCATCACCTTTAGGTTATTTAAAAGAAGTCGTTAAAGAAAGCATTTTAGAGACCCAAGTTGAATCAGTTTCATACTTACATTATCACATAGTTTCCTGAATTCAGTCTTTCGAGTGTACTCCAGACAAAACTTGAACGCTGCAAACAAAAATGGTTAAGTTATAAAACAAATTCAGCGTGCGGGAGTAATAGTAGACCGATAGATTGTTGATATGTGAAAACCATATGGGGTATGCAAAACATTGTGATAGACCTAATATCTAGATGCAATGTCATCAACTTGAAATGGGGAATTTTCCAAATGATTTGAAATAATGAGGAGGAGGAGCCAACCATTATAGGGACAACACCATATGCCTATACAAAATTGAGTCCCTTGTGCCCAATAATGCTCAAGACGAATTGATGTTAAAACCCTTTTATTTACGTAAAAGGGGGAAAAAATGAACATTTATCCCTATACAAAATTGTGTTCTCTTTGCCCAAGGATGATTTAGACAAAATTTGTTTTATGGTAATAAGGCAGGGTTCTCAACCATTTTAAAGTAATGACCCAGGAATGAAGTCTCATTTCGATGGCCCAGGAAATATGTTCCTTGGAATTGGGCCCGACCCTGGGGTCAATACTAATATTATGATTGTGTTTATCACTTGATGTCAACCTTTTGTACTTGTTAATGGGTGGGGAACTCGACTGTTTCAAAAGTATATGACCCAGGGACTAAGTCTCCAAGGGTTGGGCCAGAGCCTGCGGCCAAAGTCTCCAAGGGTTGGGCCAGAGCCCGGGGCCATCCTAAAAGCATGTATTCATCTTGTATACTCAGCAAATATATATATGATTATAGGGTGGGGATGTTGATAATGTTCAAATTAACATGAAGCAAAGAAGGCCTGTATCACTCACCTGGATAATTAAGCAACTACTGGAATATATTCTCATTACATATAATACCGCAACTATTTCTACACTCATCAAGTGGGTTGGATTTTCAACATTTACCTCAATTTCCCCTTTTTCGCCCCACCTCTGCTCTCAGGGGACACATCCTCTTTTATTCCACTTTGTCCGAGGATGCTCTACACCAGACTTGGTTAAAATTCCTCATTTTGTATGGAAGGAGGATTTTAAACATTAAAATGTTCCTATATTCCCCATATTTAGCCCCATCCTTCTGCACTCTGGGGACACACTCTCTGTTCAAAGAAAACCGAGTCCCCTTTTGCCAAGAGTGCCAGTGATTTCCTTGGTTCATTTTTTCCCACCTGTTTATACAAAATGTTATACCCTTTGCCCAAGGATGCTCTGGGGGTCAGACCCTCCTTTTGTACAATACTGAATCCCCACCATCTAGGGATGCTTCCAGTCAAATTCCAATTAGCGGTGATCAAGAAGTCATTTGAAGAAATCATCATTACTCCTCAAGGCACATCACTGATACAAGAACTGGGGGCCGGAGTAGAATTACAACAATGTCCTTTAAATCCTACCTTGCTGAGCAATATCCTGGTAAAGTCTCTCCACTCGGGAATTGTTCCTCAGCAGGTCCAGGCACTGTCTGTAAGACTCCCACAGGAACTTCACCCATGGTGTGAGGATGGCCCGGTCAGTTCGGTCCTGGGTGTCCTCACCACTCACAGCCTTCAACAGCAGGCTGAAACAACCAAGTAAGCAAGACTGCCACGATAACATCACTCCTTTTTCCACTTAGTTATTCATCGAGCATCCAATGTATTAGGTAGTTTGGAATTTAACAAAAGTCCATGGGTCTGAATGGTCAACCAATTTAAAATACAATTGTTATTGTGATGCAACAAAGAATAAAAGTATAAATAACAAAATACAGTAAAACCTTGTTACACTACCATCATTTGTCCAGGGAATTGTTGGTATTGTTAAGGGGTTTGGCAATACATTGAGGGAAATGTTGGTATTGTTAGCCTTCAATAAGGGGTTTGGCAATACATTGAGGGAAATGTTGGTATTGTAAAGGGGTTTGGCAATACATTGAGGGAAATGTTGGTATTGTTAAGGGGTTTGGCAATACATTGTGGGAAATCTTACGAACACGAGAAAAAGGGACATTGAAACATGAAACATTGAAACATGTTGGCAGAAAATTAAGTGGCAAATGAAGCGAGGGGCATTGTATTGAGGTTTTATCACTGTTTGTTATTTTGACAAGATGTCAACCTAGGTGAATTAGCTATTATAACTCCTACCTCTCAGGAGTATCTGGAATATCCAGATCGTCGATATCAACCACAACTTGATGCGACTCCTGGCGAGCTCCCTCAGTCTTGGACTCTGCCAGGCGGATGTATTTCCTCACCACATCTTCTAGCGATTTGATGTTCACCTTTAATGTGTAAATGAAATCATATACTTCTCACCAGTTGCACAATTACACAGTCCTTGATAAAAAAAACAATACATAATCACAGTAGAGTACATAACACTACATGGTATTTAACTTACTATTGTGCCTTATTCAGCGACATAATTATTTGTAGAATTTGAACTTTTATTATAGATCACGGGCTAGATAAGGTGAAGGTTACATGGTTCATACAAACTTTTGACTTCAAAATTTAAGGGACTTTTCAAGGGTTTTTCAAGGCAAATTTTGGGGCTCATTTATATTGCAAAATAAACAAACAATTTTAATGAACAACAAGGCCTCGAGGGGCTAGGATTGAAGGAAAGTCATCGGCATTTGTGTTCAGATTTGGATTAGGAACAGTTGAGGTAGGTATCGATTTACTTGCTGTTGAAGTAGAGGGTTTGGTATAAAGTGTCAAAGGCCGAGTCGATCGTCTAGCCATTTGCGGTTAAAAACACACTTCCCCATCGCAGTTGTTGTGTTCGTGTTCCCCTCCTGTTAACAGCCCTACTCTTAATGCACATGACCGTCTGTCACTTTGGCACTTTGACTACGATACTTACTCAATTCAAACGCAGTGATGATATAAATTGAACTTCATCGGTATATATTTTCCATAATTATTAAAAATTACGATCTGCAATTTGACGATCAATCTGTGTTAAAAAATAATTATTGTTTGCGACGAATGTTTACAAAATACTGAATTAACATGACAGAAACGGACACTCAACTAACTTCTTTGATTTTCAAGGGTTTTTCAAGGACTCCCATTAATTTTCATGGGTTTTTCAGGGCTAACAGTCATTTTCAAAGGTTTTTCAAGGCGTACAGTCATTTTCAAAGGTTTTTCAAGACAGACATCAAATTCAAGGGTTTTTCAAGACCTGTGCGAACCATGGGTTATATAGTCTAATAACCAGGTAGAGTTTTTTTTTTATTGTATCCAATAAGCAAATTCAGCTATCAAAAATTAACAAGTATTTCTTAGTAGAAGGGCAAAATTGAGGGGGCTTAATTTCAGCAGGCAACCTGTTCCCAGAACCTTATATATGTGGGGAGGGTCTTATATCACTTTGGATGCCCCCTATTGTGAATGTGGTCAAATACGGTACACTCTTGTATGGTTGTCAACCCTGGGTTAGTCATAGCCACGGTCAACCATGGTTCAAAACCAATTGATTTCCAAGGCAGTTAAGAAAGGAAGCTGACTATAGTTGTAGGTAGGCAAGGATGGATTTTTTAATTAGGTGAAGGAAACCACCAAGCTCTCAATGCTGTAATTTATAGGTTGTTTATTTACATGTTGTCATGAAATAGTAGGGGAAACATCAATGTGTCTGGTCAAGCTATATTATATGACTAACCACAAGCCAATAACCAGGGACAATATTAAAAAGCAATAAAATCTTTTTTTATTGAGGATATTATGAACATGCCATATTTTAAATAATGTACTAATTACTACTACCGTAAATTTGCAGGTATCATTGCGCAGGTACGTTTTTGGGGTTAGATTTGAAAAAAAACAAGAAAATGTCTGTAAGACATAAATGCCCTCGCTGCCATGTGGAATAAGTTTCAGTGTTATATAAAAAGTTACAACACTTTGATCTTGATACCCTGAAACATGCACACACAACAAGGTACTACACTTAAAGTTGATTTTAATATTCATGTTTTTTCTGTATGTTATTACCATCTCCATAACATATTGAATGAAGTTGTCGAGTGTTTAAATTGAATCAGTAGATGATTTTCAATATATAGCAACAGTGACCTTGGCCTTGACCTTGGAACCCTGAAACACAACAATGTCCGAAGTATACTCATACTTGACCTTTGCATAAAGTTTGACCAAAATCCATGAAAGAATGAAGTTGCTAAGTGTTTAAATTGAATCAGTTGATGATTTTCTATATATAGCAAGTGTGACCTTGGCCTTG